GGTTATGAATCCCCACTTGTCCCTGTTGTTGTCAGCGTTGAATTCAATCTCTCCCCTAATTCAGTAGTCTTGATTAAAGTCTTCCTTATCATTTTTAACAAGGGTCCAATGTAAGATTTTTTTTTTACATAATCTTAATACAAGATTTAAAAAATAATAATAAAATTTATAGCCTAAAGGACTAGAACGGGATCCTGTTCACCTTTCTTTTTTTAGCATTACATTAGACTACAACAATTAGAGGAGTGGGTACTTAAGAAGATAGAAATATTTCAGATTCCAACTTCATTACTTTGTAGATATATCACTTAGGAAGAATAGTGTGACTCTCTGAGCTTTTGTCTGTTTATCTATAAAATGGGAATAGTAATGTCTACTTCTAGCTGCTGTAGGTTAAAGTGATAGTAATGAATATAAAATGCTTTGCACAGTGCCCATCACAGGATAATAGGACTAGGTTGATATTTGCTGTTTGTAAAGTTCATATGAAAAGTTAAGGGACATTATTTTTATAACAGTTATTGAATTACAGTCAGCCTTTCATATCTGCACATTCTGCATCCAAAGATTCAACCAACCACAAATTGAAAATGTTCAAAAACAATATAAAAATACAACAATAAAAAAAATACAAATAAAAAATACACTATAGCAACTATTTACATAGCACTTACAATGTATTAGGTATTATAAGTAACCTGGAGATGATTACAGAAGGATGTGTGTAGGTAATATGCAAATACGACCCCATTTTATGTAAGAGACTTGAGTCTCTGTGGATTTTGGTATTTATGGGGGTCCTGGAACCAATCCCCCACAGACACCTGTGTAAATATAAAAATAGAAAAGCACGATTTGGGAGGTGAATGCTTTCTGCCTCCGTGGACAGCCTAGTGTGATGACAGATGAAGGCAGCGAAGAGGCTGTCAAAAGACGTTGAGGTCTTGGAGGACTCTGTCTGAACACTGGCTCTGTCTCTGGGTATTCTGTAAATCTAGAAAATTACTGAGGTTCTCTGGGAACCTCAGTATCCTTGTTGATAAGTTGGAAATAATATTACATACCTCAGTAAGTTGATGTGGGTATTAAATGAAATAATTAATATAAAACACAGTGTGGGGCCCAAGGCAATTGCTCAATAAAAGTAGTTAGCTTTATTATGAAGAGTCTTTTTGTTATTATTTATCATTATTGTTGTTAGAAAAGGTGGCAGATTTATAGTGCTTTCAAGTTCCATGCTGCTACCTTCTAACTAGATTGCACTCTTATCTCTGGTTTCATCTTTTCTTAAATGCGGAAATCATACCTACTTTGGGTGGGGAGGGAGATGTAGGACTTAAATGAGAAAATGAGTAAAAGTGATTTGATAATTGAAGCACTGTTCATACGGTTATCTGAAATTGTGCAACTTTTTTTTTTTTCCTTTTTTGTCTTTTTTCGTGTCCGGCAACGGACCGCAACCCTCAGTGTCGCGCCCGTACCGGACCGGGACCGGCAACGGGATTGCAACCCTCGGTGTTGCTCCCGCACCTCGCTCAGCCAGTGAGCCGCCGGTCCGCATGTGGGATCCGAACCCTCGGCGGGAGCGCCACCGCACTCCCAAGCTGCGCCCTGCAGCAGTGCGCCACCGGGCCAGCCCAAATTGTGCAACTTTTTACAATCCCAAAGAAAAGAGATTCTGGAATTTTTCCTTTTTGCCAACCATGATCCACTGACTATTTTTTAAGAGGTGCAAGTTCTGTGCTCTGAGGCGTCTGGGATGGGATTCACTGACCTTCTTCCACTGATTTTGTTTGGCTTTCAGATGAAGGCACAGGCACACCCTCAGTATCAGGTATTTTCTTAATGAACCGGCTGAGGTAAAGTAAGCGAGCCTGAGAAGCCTAAAGAAGACACAGTATCTGATTTTTAAACGCTTTGAGAATCAACAAGCAGGACAGGCCACAACATGTTAATGGCACTCAAGCAAAACAGGGACATGAGAATTGAATAGGGCAGTTTGGTCCAGGCCAGCTCTTCTTAATTATCAAATAAACTCAAATTCTGAGCCATCCATGATTTTGACAGAGTTATTTTTGAGAACAAATGAAGATGCTGTTCTAAAACTAACACAGTGGGCATGCTATCTTAGATTCATTAGCTCCTGAATCTTTCATCTGTTCCAATTACCCTGAGTCGGGACATGAAACACACAAGTAAGTAATTGTACCGAATATAGTAGGGAGAAAAAGAGATGATATATACATATATTCCAAAAGAGGGCAGCACTTGCTTTTTACCTATCAGGCTGTTAAAAGTACAGGAAACCACATATTAAACATTTTTATGCTTTCTTACTTGAGGGTGTTAAGGGCAGTTGTGGATATAGCCTGGGCTGTGTTGAAAGAAGGAGGTAGCTCATAGTTTGGGTTTCTAAGTGGCACTATTATGTGCCTTGCTTTTGCAAGTCATCTGGGTATCACGAGAGGACCATTTCACCACGTGTCCAAATGTAGTCTTAACATTTAGTCAATCAATGCCTGATAAAACTCCAGATACCATTTTTAAAGGAAAGACTATGTGTTTTCATCAACATGCCTCTTCCTTGAGACTATGCCTAAGGACGAAAAGTAAAAAAATGAGAACTTTTCAAATTTAGATGACCTTGATTGCTCTTCCTGGCTCAGCTGCCTCCCAGGCTTGCTTCAAGGCTCGGATTTCATCTGCTCGTTCTGTGTCTTTTTTCACTTCAATTAAGTCTGATTCACTGTGTTCAGTGACCAATCTCAAAATCCAGTAGGGTTTATTTGGGTCTTCTTGTTGAGAGTGGGCAGTAGACATCTAATAAGATAAAATAAAAATCTTTGGGTCAGATCATTTTCTTCTTTCAAAAGGGTCTAGATTTTACCCTATGGTCCATAATTTTACTGCTAGGTATTTACCCAAGATAAATGAGAACGTATTCACAAAAGATGTGTATAAGAATGTTCATTGCAATCTTTTTAATAACAACAAAAATAGTAAACAACATAAATGTCTATCAGCTGATAAACAAATTATAATATATTCATATAATTGGGTACTTCTCAACATTAAAAAGTAATAAACTACTGATATACACCACAGTGTGGATGAATCTCACAGACAGAAATTATTCTGAGATAAGGAAGTTGAGCACATACATCTTGTATGATTCATTAGCGTGAAATTCCAGAATGGGCAAAACTAATCTTTAATGACCAAAAACAGATCAATAGTTACCTGGAGGTGAGGTGCAAGGATGACAGAATTGACTGCAAGGAGGTTTGAGGGAATTTCTGAGCCTAAGGAAGTGATCTATAATCTATACCTTGATAGGGGCATGAATTACACGGCAAATGCCCCTGTCAAAACTCATTGAGTTGTACAATTAAGATTTATGCATTTCACTGTATGCAAATGTTACTTAAAAATTATACACATTAAATTTTAAATTTTACTATGCCCACTCATAGCATCTCTTCACAAAAACGAGAGCAGGATAGTTGATCATTTCCAGGTCTGGGTGTACTTGCTATATATTCATTATGAAAGTCAGCAACACTTTTATGCCTCGTAGGATCGCTTGCATGGGCTCTAAGCTGGGAGCAGATTGATATAGGGCTTGATAAGTTCTACATAGGTGAGGATCATTGGTGGCAATTGGGTAGGGAGAGAGGTTGGAATCTGATGTGGTTATATAACACTTTACATGAAATTGAAACTATATCAATTATCCATGTCAAATAATGCAATTGGGGAAGTGTAGATTGGTGCACATACCAAATAAAGTTTTCACGTGTAATTTGGTTTCAGTGTTACCAAATAGACTGCTTTATACAATATATCCCCCTAACATTCCAATAAGTACTGAATCTCACAATCGGAAATTCTTTTTTTCTTTTTTACCACGCATTAACTTTTGTCATCTTTTAAGCTACTCAATAAATGTGTTTATCAGGAACTTTTTGGGCCAAGTTTTGATTAGGAAAGGGAGCACCATGAAGATACTAAGAGAGAACCCTGTGTCTTATAAAAATCTATGTATTGGTTTAAGCTTGTTTACTTCACAATGTCTCTAAGGATAGACTCTAGTAAAAAAATAAAATCTTTCAAATGCAAGTAAACAGGTTTTTCCATTCCTGGAGTCTGAAGGCTGAGTCATCGTATCTTCTCTTTATTTGCTAATTTTCTTTATTGTCTGTTTTACTCATGATACTGACATTATGCTTAGTTAATTCTGCTGGAAACCTGGGAGCTATACTTCGTTCCTTAACATCTACTTCAGACTAACCACGACACCCCCTGTCTTAGTTCGTTCTGTACTGCTATAACAGAATACCCAAGACTGGGTAATTTATAAAGAACAGAAATTTATGTCTTACAGTTCTGGAGGCTGGGAAGTCCAAGGTTGAGGGGCCTAAATCTGGCAAGGGCCTTCTTGCTTTGCTATTCCATGATAGAAGGCATGCACGCACACAAGAAAATGGGGGAACAAACTCGTCCTTTTATCAGGAACCATTCCCAGGGTAACTAAGCCACTCCCTTGATAACAACATTAATTCATTCATGAGGGCAGAGCCCTCAAGACTTAATCACCTGTAATAGGCCGCAGCTGTCAACAGTGTTGCATGGGGATTAAGTTTCCAACATGTGAACTTTAGGGGACACTTTCAAATCATAGCACCCCCTTTTTGTTTCCTGGATAGTCCTTAATCTGTTTTCTCCTTCCTCTCTTTTTACCTGGTCCTGGTACACTTTGTAGTCTTTTGCTCGGACTTCAGTACTTTCTTGAATGATTTTCCCGTGTCTAATCTTTTCCCTTTTAAATTCATACCCTTAAAATCCACCAGGGTGGATCTGAAGTGTAAATTTGGTCATGTCAATACACTTCTTAAATCCCCCATTTTCCAGTCCTGCTTAATCTAGGCAGTGATCAAGAATGTTGGGAAGGGGCCAGCCCGGTGGCGCACTGGATAGTGCGCCGCTTGGGAAGCGCGGGGGGGCTCCCGCCCGAGGGTTCGGATCCCACATGCAGACCGGTTCCCGCTCACTGGCTGAGCGAGGCACGGGAGCAACACCGAGGGTTGCGATCCCGTTGCCGGTCCCTGGTCCGGTACAGGGGCAACACTGAGGGTTGCGATCCGTTGCCGGACACGGAAAAAGACAAAAAAAAAAAAAGAATGTTGGGAAGGGGCCGGCCCGGTGGCGCACGGGATAGTGCGCCGCTTGGGAAGCGCGGGGGGGCTCCCGCCCGAGGGTTCGGATCCCACATGCAGACCGGTTCCCGCTCACTGGCTGAGCGAGGCACGGGAGCAACACCGAGGGTTGCGATCCCGTTGCCGGTCCCTGGTCCGGTACAGGGGCAACACTGAGGGTTGCGATCCGTTGCCGGACACGGAAAAAGACAAAAAAAAAAAAAAGAATGTTGGGAAGATTTTTTACTCATAGGTATTTTGTTTTGAGCACAGTATTTTTTAAGTAACTTGAATATGAATGCCTTTAGACCTGTGTTTGCACTTCTCAAATCTGTCATCCACATCCTCTTTCTTACCCCTAATCATGGCAATTACCTAACTGGCCCTAATGGGGTTTAGAGTCATGACCAGTCTTCTAATGAGGCTTAAAGACCCTCTTCCATCTGACCCTTTTCTTACCCCTTCATCCTCCTCTTTCATCCTTTTTTGCTTCAAAAAACCAGACTGAGTTTGTTTTAGCCTCAACATGTCTTTGCACATTGACTCAGCTCAGGGCTCAGTACCTCCTGGAAGAGGATGAATTAGATATCCACTCTTTCTACCACTGCACTCATAATATCTAACATTAAAACTCTGTTTACCTTCAAGTCTCTTCCATTAGATTGTGAATTCTTTGAGGGTAGGACTGTATCATATTAATTTTAGAAGCCCAAGTCCCAAGAATATTGACTTACGTACCAAAAGTTCAATTAATGCTTTTTGATACTGAACTGGGGAAGGAAGCTTGGGCAAAGTGTCCACAGAATGTCCTCATGGTATCTAGATGGCTGCTGAAATCAAGGAGATAGGAATTTTACATTTTTTTTCCTCAGAAGAGATGGGCAAGTAGAAATCCAATGAACCTAAATCCATGAAGTGACTCCAGTAAGAAAATACCACACCCACCTGAGGCTCAAAGCGAGGCTGAGCTTGCTTCTCTTTGGCAACCTTTTCTTTCTCAGAAGATCTTTCTTTGCCTTTTCTTGTTTTGGAAGTTCCTGAAGATTTTTGCCCTTCACTACTAGTATGAAAATCTGGGCTTCCCAAGGTAATTAATTCGTCATGTTTCTCACCATAAGCTGGAGAGTTATAAAAATAGAAACCAGTGAGTCATGATATAGCAATAAAATCATTTCATGGAGGGACAAGGAAAGCAAGTCAAGGGAAAAATAAAATGGTTAATAGAAGGGATTTAATTTTCATTTTTTAAACAAACAAACAGATCTTTTATAAAAGCCAGTTTTGACTTCCTTTAATAAAAATGAGATATAATTTATGTATTGTAAACTCACCATTGAATTGTATAAACCAGTGGGCTTTGGTATATTCATAAGGTTGTGCAACCATAACCACTGTCTAATTTGTTTCCAATCTGCATGCCTTTTATTTCATTTCTTGCATAATTGCCCTGGCTAATACCTCCAGTACAATATTGAATTCATTTATCTCTGCTCTAATCTTTATTATTTCCTTCCGTCTGCTGTTTCATCCTTAGTTTTTTAAAAAATAGTTTTCTAGTTTTTTAACACAAGGGTTAAGTTATTAATTTGAGATTTTTTCTTTTGTAAGATAAGTATTTACAGCTATCAATTTCACTCTTAACACTGCTTTCACTGCATCTCATGAGTTTTTGTATTTTTTAAAAAATTCATATCCAATTATTAATTTCTCTTTTGACTTTTTCCCCTTGCTCCATTGTTTAAGAGTGTGGTGTTTAATTTCCACAAATTTGCAAAATTCCCAAATTATTTTTGATTGATTTATAATTTCCTTCAAGTGTGATCAGAAAGCATGTTTGTATGACCTCCCATCCTTTTACATTTATTAATTGCCTCAGAATGTTTCAAGTGTACTTGAGAAGAACAGGTATTCTGCTGTTGTTGAGTGGAGTATTCTGTGCATATCTATTAGGCCAAGCTGGTTTACAACACTGTCCAAGTCTTGTATTTTCTTACTGATTTTCCGTTTTGTTGACCTATTCATTATTATAATTGGGGTTTTAAAGTCTCCAGGTATTATTGTTGAATTGTCTATTTCTTCTTTCAATTCTGTTAGTTTCTGCTACATGTATTTTGAACTATGTTGTTAGGTTCATGGGTATTTATGATTGTTATATTTCTTGATGGAATGACCCTTTTACCATTATAAAATATCCCCCCCCCCCTTTTTTTGTCTCTACTAACTTTTTATTGTCTTAAAGTCTATTTTGTCTGAAGTATAGCCACTTCAGGTCTCTTTTAGTTACAACTTTAATGACACTGCCTTTGCAATCTTTTTGCTTTCAAACTATTTGTATCTTTGAAACTAAAGCATGTCTCTTATAGACAGCAGATCATTATTTGTTGTCCCTACTCTCTACCTTTTAACTGGAGAGTTTATTTAATTTATATATAATATAATTACTAATAAGGTAGAATTTGTCTGCTCTTTTACTATTTGTTTTCCTATATATCTTATATCTTTTTCTGTTCTATTTCTCTATTATTGCTTCCTTTTGAGTTAAATAAATATTGACTACTGTACCATTTTAATTTTCTTGTTTTTTGTTTGTCTGCTATACATTTTTGAGTTACTTATTTAGTAGCTGCCCTGGGGGTTATAATTATAATATTAATTTATAACCACCTAGTTTGGATTAATGTCAACTTAATTTAAAAGTATACAAAATCTTTGCTCTTAACTAGTTATGTTTCCCTCTATGCTGTTATTTTCACAAATTTCATCTTTATACATGTTATACCCATCAACTCAGACTTATAATTATTACTTTATGCTATTGTCTTTTAAATCAGATAGAAGGATACAGAGAGCTACAAACAAAAATTACATTTATACTAACTTTCATATTTATCTATGCAGTTACTTTTACTGGTGCACTTTATTTCTTCATGTGGATTCAAGTTACTATCTAGTGTTTTTTGTTTGTTTGTTTGTTTTCAGCCTGAAGGATTTCTAGTATTTCTTGTAGGGTAGGTTTGTTACTGGCAAATATTTTCAGTTTTAGTTTTTCTGAGAATATCTTAATTTATTCTTTATTCCTTAACTTATCTATAATTTAATTATTTTAAATTAACTTATAATTTAACTATTATTACTTAATTTATTCATCAAATATGAATATTCATCCCTGGACCTGAGGAATCTCAAACGTTCACCATCATCTGTAGAGGGCTTGACATGGCTGTGGTCCTTGCCCAAGGTCTAGCATCTCCGACATTGGATGCCAAGTCTGAGTTCCTGGGCACTCAGACCCCCAGTGCATGAGGATCAGGACAGACAACGTCATGGAACAGAAGATAGAAGATGGAGGAAGAGAGACTCATCACACGTGGACTTGGCCCAGCCCCACCACCCATGTCTAGGAAGTAGCAGTGCCTCCCTCGAGTACCTGGGTTTGCCACACACCCCCAGGGAACCCTTGAACTTTAAGGGTGACCAGGGCTCAAGTCCCCCATCAACCCCCATTCCCCTAGGTACCAGGCCCATGCCACCTCCAGCTCAAGTCTTTGTGGTCGGTAAAACACCTCAGAGCAGAACAAGGGTTGCTTGTTTGGGGAGCATTGTACCTGGTTCTAAAGAGCCCTCATGCCCTTTGCCAAGCCTGGTGCCAAGTTGGGGAAACAGCAGTGAACACAGCTGAGAAATACCCTGCCCTCATGGTGCTCAAATATGTCATCTCACTGGATTCTGGTCTTTATAGATTTTGATTAAAAAATATTCTGTTAATCATATTGAGGATCCCTTGCATGTAATGAGCCACTTCTTTTTTGCTGCTTTCAAGATTCTTTGTCTTTATCTTTAGACAGTTTGGATGTCACATATCTAGCTCTGCGTCCCTTTGAATTTCCCCTACTTAGAGTTGGTTTAGCTTCTTGAATGTGCCAATTAGTGTTTTTCATCAAATTGGGACATTTTAAGACATAATTTTTTCACATAGCCTTTCTACCACTTTTCCTTTCTCCTCTCCTCTGGAGTTCCCATTAAATATATGTTGGTATGTGTATGGTGTCCCACAAGTCTCTGAGGACATATTTCTTTTTCTTCATTCTATATTCTCAGACTGGGTAATCTTGATTGAGCTGTCTCACAGTCTTTGAGAAGGTTTTTCACAATGAGATAGCTTTAAGTCTGATGGGATCTTCCAAGAAATCACCAGAAAAGTCAAATAAGAATAAGTTTTAAAGAATATTGCCTTGAAAGACATCTAGATCCATTTCAGTCCTTCTGATATCTGCCAACCTGCACCAGTAATATGGAATGTTATTTTTCAAGACTATTGCTGAGAACTAGGGGATGGGACTAGGAAAAGTTAAAACACCATGAAGTTTCCTGATTTTTACAGATATTCAGCTGGTTTTCTTGAATAAACATTTCCCAGTTGTCATAAGCTTTTGTTAATTCCCAGACACCTGAAACAGTTGATTGTGATAATTTTGCCAGTTTTTTCTTTGCTTTTATGAAGGAGATAATTTTTCAAGTCTTTACTCTGCCATTTCCACAGATGTTCTCCTAGATTTGTTTTCTTATCTGAACCTTCTGAGGACCTGTGCATGCTGTTTGTCCAGGGCAGGGTCCTGAGAGATTGGAGAATTTACACAGCCCGGGTCTCTCACTGTTTCCTGGAGACACAAGTGCATGGAATTACAAAGAGCGCTGTGCAGGAAGGTGAGATTCCATTCTAAGCAGCTTGACTCTGGAGTGTGATGAGTAGGACAAAACAAAAATGGACTGTTTTAACTTGTGAGCAGAAAAGTGAGAAAAAAGAACCCACAGAAAGAGAACAAGTTTATCTAAATGAGAGGAAGGATGAGGCCTAAGGTTAGAAATGAAGAACCTTAGAAACAGGATCAAGAAAAGAAGAAAGAAGAAATGAAGGCAAAGATTTTAAGAGGAAGCCATATGGTAAAATCACCTTTAATTAGAACTCCAGGATAAAGAGCAGGAGAGGCCACAGAAGACCCATTTTCTCCTATGGTCTTTGGTATCATTTGTCAGCCAAAAACCCTGGGGTTGGACATTACTTGCATAGAAATGCGAGCCCATGTGCTTCAGTGCTGCTTCCTCCTGCAGTCTCCTCAGGCCTCTCTTGCCTCTCACAGATGAGGCAATACCAGCCCTTTTTCTCAAGAAAAATATGAGGGGACTGGCTTTCAACCAAACTCACTGGCCACAGCTACCACCTTAGTGTCTTGCTCCAGTAAAATCCAGATTCCATAAATCTCAACTCCAATAGATTACAGGGTTAACTGTATTTTAGAGCCCCATTTGTGGCCAGCAATATATAAATTTTCACCCTGTGCTGCCGGACAACTGTTATCAGTAACACTTCTGTGTTAACAACTCTGTTACTGGTAATGTGTTTATTGTGACACAGCAATTCAAAATTTTGGTGAATGTATGAGGTATCCAGTGAGCCTATAAAATGCAGATCTCAAGGTCCACCCGTCAGAGATTCCAACTCTGTAGTCTGGTGTGGGGCCTAGGAATCTACAACTTAAAAAATTACCTCAAATTATCCTGATTCAAGTGGCCTGTGGATCGTACTTTGAGAAACACTGCTTTAAGAAAACTATACAGATTCCTTTTATAAGAAGCAAGTGTTGGGGCCGGCCTGGTGGCGCACTGGAGAGTGAGCCACTTGGGAGCGCGGTGGCGCTCCTGCCGAGGGTTCGGATCCCATGTGGAGACTG